GCGGCGCCCAACGGATCCGGCGGGCTGGGATTGTTTGTGTTTTGGGTTGCTTTTTTCCTTCCCCTGGCATGTTATTAAAGGGATCGCGGCGCTGGGGCAGGAGTGGGCATGGCAGCAGCCATGATGTTTGCTTTCGTTGGAGCGCCAGGAAGTCGGGAGAAAACACAATAAAGGGCCCCAAAATGGGTCTTGATGGCAACGCCCGGTCATGCACCCGCGTGTGCCGCTGCAGGAGGTTCACAGCAACCTTTCCAGAAAGGAAACGAATTCACCCCTTTGCCCACTGGGGAGTTATTACAAGAAATTAAGTGCTCAGAGGACACGGGGCTGGGCGTGGGCACCATGTTTATGGCCTGCCTAGTGTTTGACTCCCCAAATCAAAGAGAGACTCTTAGTTAAAAGATAACACAAGCCATGAAGCGATTATGTGGCATAGCCCATGAGTTCTGTGCTGTGCTTATAGAATTACAGAATGGTTTGTGTCAGAAGGGAACTTAAAGATCCAACCCCCCCGCCATGGGCAAAGACACCTCCCGCTGGACCAGGTTGCCCAAAGTCCTGACCTGCCTGGCCTCGAACGCTGCCAGGGAGGGGGTGTCCACAGCTTTCCTGGGCAACCTGGTCCAGTGTCTCACCAGCCTCACAGTGAAGAACTTCTTCCTAATCTAAATTTACCCTGATCTAGTTGCCCCTCATCCTGTCGCTGCACATCCTTGCAAACAGTCCCTCCCCAGCTTTCCTGTAGCCCCCTTCAGGTACTGGAAGGCCACTGGGAGGTACCCCTTCAGGTACTGGGGCCTTCTCCAGGCTGAACAACCCCAACTCTCTCAGCCTGTCCTTCATAGGAGAGGTGCTTCAGCTCCCAGTCATCTTTGTGGTCTCCTCTGGACCCGCTCCAACAGCTCCCTGTCCTGCTCGTGTTGGGGCCTCCAGAGCAGGACGCAGCACTGCAGGTGGGGTCTTGCAGGTGGGGTAGCTGCCAGCGAGCAACCAGTTGGTCCACTGCGGCACAAGAAGCCGTGTCGGGTGGGTGATCCGCGTACACCAGCCAAGCCAAACCAAGCCTTGGCCCAAACTGCAGTTGCACTGTTGGTGGTGCTTTCTGGGCTGCCGGGTTATCAAAAATCAGTTACGTCGGCAGAAGAGAAAGTGAGTCGCCTTTACTCTCAGACCCTTGAAGCACAAGACGCAAATTACTTACTGTTTTAGTTTTACTTGCGTGTATATATGTATGGATGGCATACACGAGAAAGTAAAAAGCAATCTTAGTGTTTAAAATTGAATATTGGAAGAAACTCGGAACCTTTCTAAGCAGGTAGGAAGGACTCAAGTGACACGGTGAGCCCTCACTGACGCTCAGTCCGTGGCCGTTGGATGTGAATGCCTCGAATATTGGAAGAAACTCGGAGCCTTTCTAAGCAGGTAGGAAGGACTCGAGTGACACGGTGAGCCCTCACTGATGCTCAGTCCGTGGCCGTTGGATGTGAATGCCTGGTCTGGGAAACACCAGTACATGCGAAGAACCGGATGTTGCGTTAAATGCCACCAGTTGGCCCGTTGCTGGCCCCTTCATATCAGCCAACCACCATGCCTTTGCCTCTCCATACCTCTGCACTGTGAAAAATAGTGCTTTACCTCAGGGAAAATATCAAAGATCTGTTAAGAAACCACTCAAGGAAGGCAAACTCTCTAGTTTTGTCACAAGGTAAACCCTGGCTACAGTGTCAGGCTTTTCTTGGGATGAATTTCTGGTCATTGGTGCCTTTTTACTTCATGTTATCTTACATGCCTTAGATAATCTAAATGAAAAATATTGTATCACTGTTTTATTCTGCTTTTAAATAATAATACTTAATATTATTCAATGATAATCTTTAATAGTCTCACTTATATTAGGAGGCTGACATAAATTCTTTAGAGAACGAGACAAAAGGTTTTAAAATGTTGAGTTGCACCCAGTTTATTTATGTCATGAAAGATCAATGAGATTATTGAGAGCACGGTTCGACTCGAAGCACCTGAAAATAAGCAGAGTGCTGGGCTCACTGATAATCTTTTTTTCTAACTTTGATAAGAACAGTTTTAAAACATTCTTTCCGAAAAGTAGAAAATGCTAAATAAAAGTACAAAAATTACCTAGTAAAGATAAAAATGTCTGAAAAGGTATTTTTAAAGTAACTTGTTCCTCTACGCTACATGAGAGTCCATCAAGTTCTTGGGCTCCTGCCACTGCCTTTTCCGTCTCTTTATGTCAATTTATAACTGAGTTTATTCCAATTCTGTTCCATTTCACATTATTAAATTCTACCATATAGGCACTCTCTTTGAAAGAAGCTAAAAAAGGAGTATATTAATCTCATGTGAAAGGACAGCTTTGATTTTCACAAAATATAGGAAAAGGATTCTTTGAACAATTCACGAGCTTATTTCTTAAATCTTTGTCTGCTGAAAGTTCAACTGAAAAACGAAGACCCCAAATGAAGCGAATTCTATTAAGATCAAGAAAACTGAACCGTACAGGGTTCATCCCAATGTTCTCCCAGGATATCTCAGATGGTTTGCAATAGAAATGCAGCCTGGCAGTCGGTGACCCTGCACAAGTCTTCATCCCAACAGCCCAGGTGGTTTTCAGCTGCACATTTACCTCAGTTTTCTGCCTATTCTTTGGCATCCCCAATCCCTCCAGGAGTTATTGCAAATGTGGCTTCGTTTTCAGGCATCTCAGGGCTGGGAAAACAAAACAAAACAAAACAAAACAACAAAACAAAACAAAACAAATATGGTCACAGTTCGTGTTAAATGGAGTTGTGAAACAGCCCCCCAAATGTTCTAAACGTAAGCAGCCTAGGATACTTCAGCGTCTTACGTGCAAACTATAGAATGTGATCAATATTACAAAGGCCACAAAATGTGAAATCCACCTCTTGGAAGATGATAAACACAAGGGAGGGGAGCAGAGACGGGGCAAGAGAAGGAAAGATCCTATTTTTGCAAACTCCCAGTTTGGTTTTGTAGTTCATGACCAGAAACACTTGTGTCTCCGTACAGATGCGATTTTTAATGACTTGCGGTTTGCCGCAGCTTACCAGGTAGAGCGGTACTAAATGTGTCAACCAAACTTAGTAATTTAACAGCTCTGGAATTTTCCTGCCAAAGGGTCACAGCTCTTACCAAACTATTTGATTGTCTTCCTTTAAGAGATGAGCATCTAGTAGTATTTATGATGAAAGATTACATAATTTAATCTACGCGACATGCAAGACAACTTTAAGTCTGTTAATTAGTTTATCTTTTCAGATTTTCTCTCAATTTACCATCCAGAAATGTGGTTAGTTTGAAATCATGAATTAGCTGCCCAGAGAGGACATTATTTTTCTTATCTGTATGTCTGTCAGGTCCCCAGATGGCCTGCATAATCAGCAGGTTTTGTTATATGAAAAGACTGTGAAACACAACTTCAAAAATTCATTTAAGCATTACATTTTCTCTCAGTAAAAAGCTATTAAGGTTCAGTTCCGTGAACTTTGTCACCTTAAAGTTGCTCATAACACAGCTTCCCTTTTCTGTTTCTTTTTTTTCTCTTTACCTGTCGTATATCTTTGCAATACGCAGCTCTCCTCTCCCTTTCCTCAAACTAATCCTGGTAGTCGAAGCATGAGCAAGGATGTGGCCCCCAATGGGCTTTTTTGGGTCCGCCTGAAAGCTAAATTAGCAAGAAAATTGTGATGATTCACTCTGCAAATTCCATAGGTTAATGCTGTGACTAATTGTCACATGAGGCATACTGAACTCAGTAATGAAAAATAAGTAGGTAAATATATCAAAAGAGGACAGTAACACACTTGCCTCAAGAGAGGATGTTCAAATGCTCAATGCTGGCATAATTTTCCTCTCAATAAATTCAAGAGGCTTAAGAAGCACACACCTTAAACTTCATATATAAGCTGCTCCGAAAGAAAACAGATCACTTTTCCAATACTTTTTATGGCTTGTTCTCTTTGTTCAAGTCACAGTGAAAGAAGCCATCATGCCAGGCAGCAGATAAATGTAAAAAAAACCTCATTACAAAGACTGAGAGAAACCTATAGATGTCATCCTTGAATGATTCATCGTACCAGAGGGACCCATGACCAATCCGAACCTTCATTTCAGTGCCTCTGGCTCCGTACAGTCTCAGTTCTCATCTCTGTTAAATATGTAATACAAAAGAGAGTATTTTTTTTATTTTTTTTTTAAAAGGGAGAGAAAAAGTGTCTTACGTCATAGTTGCTCCTGGATCAGCAGTCATCTGGTTGGTCACAAACACGGCCACATTATATTCTGCAACAGAAAACAATGCAAAGAACTTGGGCTATATCCAATTTGAACTCCAAAATATTATCCCATCCATGATGAAAGCAAGGCTGCTGCTGAAGCACTTCAAATTTCAAACAAAAGAGAAGCAAATATTCTCTATATCTGATGGCTGGAGTTAATTCGGAGGCAGCCTAAATTTGCTCCCGTGTGACTTCAGCTGTAATACGCCAGAAATGAGCACTTTTCAGAATTCCTCTGAATGAGTCTTTTTCTCAGTTCCCATCTTGTCTATTGGCTCCTTGCCCTCAGCCCCCTCTCCCTCCCTTTGTCTGTTTGCCTTTTTTTTTTTTTCACTTACAGCATGAAAAAAACATTTAATCATTCCTCATCAACATTTCTCAGACATTCCACAGAAACCCTATTCATCCTGTCATTATTCCTGAGAACTAAAAAGCACTGGGAATGTGGCAACGGGCATGGCTTTTTTATTTCTCTGTGTTTTTATCCTTTTTTTTCCTGCTCTTTGTGTTTCTTTGTGTATTTAGCCTGTCGAAATTCAGGGAAGACGATTTCTCCTGCTGGACTATTTGTCCAGTTCTACAACCTATTGTCTCATTTAGGACTTCTCTTAACAGTATTTTTAGGAAGACTCTAAATGTTCAATAGTTCTAAAGATTCCTTAATCTGTGAAATAATGTATTATTAGATTTATCTTTTTTGCAACTGACAGAGGTGTTAAGTGAGGAAGGATTCCTCCCTGATAAGACATTCATACTACGAGGTGGTGGTGCTACCAACAGCTTGTGTTTCAGTAACTCCACTCCATGTTTTCCAAACATTTCCTTTACCTTCTGATATTTTTTGGAGCCTTGACAGCATCTGAGCCAGTTTCTGTTGTCGTTCAGCCAACTCTCCACGACCGCTGAAATCCACACGGAAAAGTGCCATTATGGAGTCAATGATCTGCATTGTAATTATGCTAGATAAGTAAATATAGTGGAAGAAAATAGGGAAATGTATTCTGAAAGCAATAGGCATACAAAAAAAGAAAGGTCTTGTACCAATAGCTTGAAGATACCAGCTTCCTCATGGAACTTGGCTGCTACATAGTCAAGCAATTCCATCTGATGCTCACCTGGTGGGAAGCAGAGTTGCCAAATGAAATTAGGACCAGAAAGAGCTCTGAAGCAACAAAACCGAATTTCAAATCTGAATTTTAAAATTCTGCTTTCTCCACACTGTTTATATTTTCACTGTCAGTCGTAGCAGTTTTAAATCCAGTGCCCAGTAACAAGCTACATGTGCAACACTCGTCAGTGCCTGTGCTCCTGTGGGTTCCATTTTCCACTCGTCCAGCTAACATAACTTCTTTGGGAAAGAAAGCTTCATAACAAAACTATGCAGAAAGGCAACTTTTTCTGTTCTGTTAGGAACTGAAAAGCAATATAAACATGCTATTTTGATATTGAATTGAATGACATGCAGAAATTGCGTTAATCAGATTATTTGTGTTCATATTATAGTCTCAAAGTAAAAGTCCCATTTAAAACTTCCTGGAAGTTTTGATGCAGTGTCTTGTTAAGAGAGTGTGTGGAGCTGTCCCTATAAAGTTCCAGTCACGGGATCATAGAGAATTTCTCAACGGCATTTACAGAATTAGCTCACGTTCAGGCCATCGTTACATTAATTGGTGCTTCCCTGACTAAGATGTTGCGCTGACACTTGTCATGTACATGGCAGAGTTCACTTAATCTTGTGGCAAACTGCAAAACTTTATTGTTTTTGTTGTGCAGCCGAGCTGGAATGCTTTCAGCAAGCAAGTCCGCTCAGTGCACAACACCAGAAACAGAAAATGGAAGCAAGCTTACAACTTCTTTTGTTGTCAGCAAAACATTCTCTATGAGTCTCCATGGGCAATCCCAGTTAATAAACTGAGAACTATTAAAACAGGAGCCTTAGCGAAAAAGCACAGGTATCTTTACTATGAGGGTGATGAAACATTGGCACAGCTTGCCCAGAGAGGTGGGGGAGGCCCCATCTCTGGAGACATTCAAGGTCAGCTTGGTCGAGGCTCTGGGCAACCTGATCTAGTTAAAGATGTCCCTGCTCACTGCAGGGAGGGTTGGACTAGATGAGCTTTAAAATGTCCCTTCCAGCCCAACACATTCTATGGTTCTATGGTCATGCCATTTGCAACGGTGGTCTTACTGGTATATGCGCGCGCATAGAGCACGTTGTCAAGTACGGCATCGTGGTCAACATTGAAGCGATCAGCAATGTCACGGAGACGGTCTGGTCGGCTGACATTAGTAAAAGTTAAGGATTTCTCTTCACACAAAACATGCTCTGAAAGCAATAAAACTCCATTCCAAAATAGAACTATGGAAAAGCAAAGAATGGTATTTATTTTTAGCCTAGAGAAGACTTAACTTTTTCTCTTCACACTGTCCCACGTACCCTAAAGATAGTTTAGGGCTCACAGTGATAATTGGTTTATGTTTGGGGTTTGAGGCGGGGGTGTGGTGGGGGATGACATAAGGATATCTGTGCTCTAGGAATTTAGCTGTGAACACAACCTATTTATACACAGTCTACCACAGATAGGAAGCGTTAAAAATAGTGCTCAGTATTTCGATGAATTTCTCTTGAAGTAAATAGAAAAGGTTCTATCACCCGTATCATTATCAAGAAGGTATATTAGATCTCAAAAAAAAAAAGCAACAGTTAAAATAAAATCTATATCCTAACTCTAATTTTTCCAGGTTGAATTAACATCAAACAGCAGAGAAAAAAGTCACTGCCTTGTGGGCCACTACACACTGTGCTCTCCAGGCTTTCTGTGTCAGTCAGAATGCTTTACGTATATGAAGCTGTATGGAGCCTCCTAGTTGCTTATAATAAAATTAATTGCCTTTCCAGTTCATCATACCTGTAGCTTTCAACAGTCTGAAGGATACAAAGTGTTTTCAGTATCAATGAAGATAATCTTTCCACCTGTGTAGCCATTTGTTCCTGGAAGCTGAGCTGTCACTACAGTGAATCGTAGAAGATCAAAATGAGAAAATAGGAAAAATATTTTCTTACTCCCTCTATTATTAGCTTATCCATATCACAAAGAACCACCATTTTTTGTCAATGTGGAAATCAGGAGTATCTCAAGTCTTAATGCTATCTAAGCAACTTTTCTTGATTGCAGATGAGAGGAAATTTAATTAATGGTGCCAAAATTTTGTTTTACACAGTACCATCACTAAATTGTTATATTTTATATTGAAAATAGGTAAGAATATTGTTAACAAGTTCTTACTTGCAAAGCATCTTCTTAATGCTCTGCCCAGATTGATGGTATTGCCTTAGTAGGATTTTTGTTTTGCAGCTGTAACTCTTAACGATTAAAAATTCTTTCAATCTGATTTTTTCCTGATAGGTGAATCGTTACTGATTGTGGGTTTAGTCTCTTTGGAGTGAATAAGCTAAAATAGTCAGTTCAGTTGTAATCATTCATGCAAAGGGTATGACTCTGCTGACCGTCAGACTGTGCGAAATGGAAGAGGCCTTATTTTTCCAGAAGGTGCCATAATTTCCACTATAATACAGGGTTCATTTCAGGGAATGTTTGCCTACCTAGAATCTGGTAACTATACTCCAGCAGCATTAATAGTTATGTGAGTTATTATTTGCCACTGTTTACACATTGAGAGATATCACTGGGAAATCAGAGTCCTGCAGTATGGGGCAGTGCCCGAATATGGTGGCTGCCAAACCCTTTGTGTACACAGTTACTGTCAGCCAGTAGTATCCTTTCAGTGCCCCTTCAGAATGTCATATTCAGCAAGACCTCTTGAAATCAGGAAATTAAAAGAGTTGCCGAGAAAGGTTCTTGCCTTTGCCCTTTTCTGAGCAATGCCCACGTCCACCTGTTACCCGTATTTGTGCTCTGCTCTTCCAGACGGTGTGTTTCACTGGTTTCTCTAAGGCAGTCCAGTATCTTCTCTCTCCTTTACAGCACAACTTACATGGATGTGAGCAGTATTAAGAAGAAATCATTTATATGAGTTCTCTACTCCAAAGCAATTAATGGAGTTAGGAGTCACCAAGGTCTGTTTCATTATATTTCTAGAAACAGAAGACTCTGACTTGTCTCCACATGTTTAATTCTGATATCGTAGTAGAAAATGGATTCACTGAGAAGAAACATCTCTTTCTTTCAAGGTATTACACCTACCACAAAGGGTGTGAGATAGCTGGGTTTTGCCTGTCCGGAACTCTGTTAAATAAACAATAATTAAAAAAAAAAAGTTAGGGTTTCTTTCTCTGAGTTTCCCAGATTCCGGAGCTACTGCACTTAGAAACACTCTTACTTACAAAATTCACCTCTATCTCTACCTTTTAAAATCATTTAACCCCAATTTGTAAATCATATTCTGTGCAGTAGAAATGTGTTACAATGAAAAGCAAAATCTGAAATGATTTGATCATACTCGATTACTAAGGTCATGTATTCTTTCCTGTCTAGAAGCTGAAACCCCATGGCACCCATGAAAAAGTGTTAACTGAGGGGGGAGGAAGAAATGGTTGGTTCCACTGACATCGCCTAGTTTCATTTTCAGTAAAATGATCAAATCAGATGCTTATGAGTTTATTAATCTCATTATATCACATCATTTTAGTCTCTGGTTTATCTTTTCGAAAGAGAAAAGTACTGTTTTATGAACTCTTACTGTTGTTGAAGCGTTAGTCGCTAACTACTCGAATTTACTATAATAGTAGCTTAATTGTCATTTCAAAATCTTGTGTGAAATGCAATGTATTCTAAGTGTGCATAAATAAAATATCTTTTGTGTCAGTTTTGTTAACAGAAGGGAACACAGATTGCATCAGGGAAATCTTTCATATATAACATGTTAGTAATAATATTAATAATGCTATGTTGTACTGAATCAGCATGCCCCAGGTCTAATGATTACTCAGCTCAAACTGAGTATGCAAGCAAACGAAGAGGAAAAATGGGAAAACCCTAAAAGAAGTCTAATCTTTCTTCTTACGCTTGTGCAGGCATTCATCTTTATGGCTACAATGTGGTTAAGTTTGACAGAAGCAATACAGCTTGATTTAAAATTTAAACCAAGTTTAAAGCAATTCTTTGCTCAGTAATACTCATTTTAATGTGATTTGCTCACCTCCAAAAGCCTCGGTGATTGCCATGCTTTCAATCCCACCACCCAGAAGTTTACTGGAGAAAGGGAGAACATTATGATATAGTTAAACACAAAATCACAAGAAGTGAAGGAAGTGAAAAAAAGGACATTTTTGCTACTTTAAGAGTTGTTTCTGCCCTAAAGCTCCTCATTTGATGCATTAAATGCCGGTGCTAAATGGTCACTGATTTATAAAGGGTGTCATAACCACCCTTTCTGCGTGCAAGAGAAAGATCTAGAGAAATTACTTGAAAAAATACCTTTGAAAAGGTAATGCTCCATAGAAACATTTCTTGAAGACTTAAAATTTTGACCTGAGACCTGCAGGTTGTTTTGATTAGGTGAAAAAGTGATGATGTGTTCAGAATTCTTGGATGCAAACCTGGTTTATTTACAATGACTGTACAAAGTCCAGTTTCCCCTCAGAAAAGGAGTTGGTTTTGTTGCTTACTGATGTAGGCGTCTTTGAGCCAGCGCCTGCTCCAAATGCAAGGTAACCTACGTGTCCTATCTGAATAGTTAAACCATTATATTTTTGTGTCTCATTAAAGACAACAGATGTGATTATTGGAACAATTTGGATGAAGGAAGGATTTAAGTAGAGGTAAGCTCACTCAAATTCTTGGCTGCCAGTAGTAATATGAAATACCATCTTCCGTTTTGCACTGTACTCAAAGGCAGTCAGGAAGCCTGGTTCCTAAGGAAGACCAAAGAGAACATGAAAGGTTTATTGTAGCTTTAACCTCAAGGTAAAGTGCAATATCCCACCTAAATATCTTCTCTTCACCCTAGCCTCATTTACACAAGTTGGGCACGAAAAGCACCACAGCATTTGTCTAGTTGTTGTAGAACATAAAGTATTATCCCTTTAGAGTAACAAGCAACATAATTTTCAAAATTATCTTGATGATGTGGGGAAAAAAGTCTGTGAAGAGAAACGTTGCACAGCGTTTTGGAGAGGCCAGCATAAATTTAAATTACTGGGAAAGTGGTTGGCTTACTATAAGCTTGTTTGCAGCTTCTTTAATCTTGTCCACTTTGGCCTCTGAAAGCCCTTTTACATTGCACAGCGCCCGTCTTGTGGTCATCTGGATTCCTTTGATTGTGCAGATCCCAACTGACTTCAGCTTTTTAATATCTGCCACATTCTGCAAAGACAGTCACCTTCTGTGAGTACTCATGGACAGTTAACAACTAAAAGGTGAAGTAAATCTGGTGAGGCCACATCTGGAATATGGTGTCCAGTTCTGGGCCCCTCAGCTCAAGAGAGACAGGGAACTGCTTGAGAGAGCCCAGCGCAGCCACAGAGATGATGGAGTGGAACATCTCCCGCATGAGGAAAGGCTGAAGGAGCTGGGTCTCTTCAGCTTGGAGAAGAGGAGGCTGAGGGGTGACCTCATTAATGTTTATAAATATGTGAAGAGGGAGTGTCAGGAGGACAGAGCCAGGCTCTTCTCATGTCCAGAGATAGGACAAGGGGCAACAGATACAAGCTGGAACATAGGAGGTTCCACAAAACATAAGGAAAAACTGTTTCACTGTGAGGGTGCCAGAGCACTGGCACAGGCTGCCCAGGGAGGTTGTGGAGTCTCCTCTGGAGACACTCAAATCCCACCTGGACGCATTCCTGTGGGATCTACTGTGGGTGATCCTGCTCTGGCAGGGGGGTTGGACTAGACGATCTTTTGAGGTCTCTTCCAACAGCTAACATTCTGTGATTCTGTGATTCTGTGAACATATTATACATGCATATGCACTCATGTTTCCACCAAGAGAGAAACAGATTTACAATAAACTCTTCATTCTGTAGTTTGTGGCACGAACAACAGAAAATTTTGAGTAACTGCTGAGAGGGATCATGGTGCAGAGACAAGATCCCAGTGCTTTTGGAGAAAAGTTTCTGGGTCCAGTTGCATTGACTTGTCCCTGTTGATTGTCAGTCTTTCTAGATCTTGGCTGGTGGTAGACAAACAGTAGGAATTATTTGAGATATGGAGCCCAGATTAGAAAAGCCCATAACAGATAGTCTCTAAACCAGATAATCTGAATGTGGAAAACTGGGAGCTGACTTGCAAGGATGGTTGGAAGCTGACTCCTAACTGCTGTGCTGTTTCTGTATCTTCACAGTATGTCCAGTTTAAAACACATGTATCCTTCTAGATCTGACTGACGCTTTGGGCTGGAATGAATTACTAGTGTTTTTCATAAATTGGGTACAGCATGACTTCAGTCAGCGCCCTACTGACACATTTTGCCTCCTCTCACCTAATTTTATGCTTCTGACATCACTGGAAACTTAAAGGCAAGCAACGGATTACTCACAGAAAAATATACTATGTGACAGGTGTGGGATAATGCTTCAATTTACCATTTCCAGCCAAGATTTGTCTTTGAAAAGAAATATGAACTGGATGTATCATCTATTTATCTACAGTGTGGGGGTGCA